CCCCATTCACTGATTCCTCACGTCAGTTGCCTCTCAGAGAACAATTATTGTCTGTAATTATAATTTCTCCCGTGCAGTAATCAGAAAAGTGAAAGGAGAGATAATGCCGGAAAAAGAATAAATCAATTCGTTGAACTGAAGAATTTGTGTCACGTTACAGTCGATTATTTTCCATTCTGACGAGACACTCAGAGCCTGTGTGAGTATTTCCTCGGCTTATGTACGTATTTTCGTTTGTTGATATATGTATTTATCGATGAGCCGTAAAATAAAAGGAAGAGAGAGAAAATAAACACGAAATTGGAAATTGAGAATTGAAAATAGGGAAAAGCGTCGTGGCATTCTGTGTTAGAAGTACCGTATTTTATGGATCCGCTATCATGATGAATTTTCCTCATTTAAATGCAAAATCATTGGTGAAATATAGCACGATTTATTGTGAAATTATGAATTATAGTGTTGTTATCGTCTCATTGATGTTACAAGTGACGGATTTTTGATTGATGAGATGGGAAAATTGAGTCTTGTGGTTTAGCGTCTAGTGGCAGAATGATGTTTTATATTCCTTATGAACCTCTGGCCCAATGCCCCCCAGCGAGTCTATTAATTTTCCTCTTCAATTGTGTAATTTAATTAGAAATAAAGTAATTGTTTTCTCGTGGTTTATCTGGGTACAGTTGAGTATGAAAGAGTTGTTGATTTCTGAATTTTAGGGCCTATGGAGAATGTTTTGTTCTGAAAGTGTCTTTCCTACTTCATTTTCACTAGTATTTTCTTTTCAAATCCTTTGGTAAATACCCCACAAACACTCACGTAACCAACTAATGGCACCTTTTCTCCCCTCTCTCTCATACTTTTACGTGAAAGTTGAATACAAATGGCATTGACAAATAGAAAATCTTCTCAGTGTGTTTTTTCATGAATTTATTTTGCCCGGAAATACGGATGAGCTTAAAATCACGGTAATAATTTCATTAACGACCGAATCGATTCGACAATTTATTGAATAAACATCGTGTGATAAATCAAGCCCCCACGTGTACCTAATCAATTATCTCAATGAGGTGCACGAATTTATTCATTTACTCTCATCCAATTGGAGATTAAATTATCACATTTTTTTTCTCGTAGTGTATTTTTAAGTTTATTAATTGTATTTAAAGAGATCGTTGGAAGCGCCAAAGGATTATTCTGTCGTAATCTTCGGAGTAAATTATGATGGAGGGAATGAAAGTGTTGGGTAAATGCACTGTTTGTTTGGGTGCATTATTTCTCATTGAGGTTCGCAATTGGTGATAAAAGATAATTTACGACATTCCTAGTGTACGACTTCATCTGTCCCATTTAAAAAAAGTAAAAACGATAGTGAAGAGAATGAGAGAAACCATAGAAATTTGAGTCCCTGAGTTGGGAACAATGAATCGATTGATCGTGCGTTGTTAATGGTATTTATATCACTCTTTTTTTCCCTTGGATATTATGATTTATCAATTCGATAAACTTGAATTTTTATTGTCATTAATATTATATTATATTGAGAATATTGGAAATGAATACAAATGGCAAGTTAAACATGAATGATTGATCATTATACATAAAATATATATAACTATAATTATATTGGTAATTATGTAATATGTAGATATACGTACGAATAAGGTCGTAAAAGAATGAAAGAAATAAAGAAATGAGAAAAAAACAAAGTTGAAAATATTGTAGTTTAATATCGGTTGATGGGCTTTTACCTCGGAATTGTAAAATTGTATTGATTGTATATTGATGTATCGAAGCATGATCCTGATGGCTATCGAAATAAATGACAGCTTCTGAACATTAATAAGGACTCGGGGTGATGCGAAGTTTTATTTTCATCTTTGAGGGGTAATACTCGGGGGTTAGGCGCGAGTTACAATTCTCCTAGGTGATTTGCCTTGAATTTCTTCACTGCGCGCTCGGCTGGCCTTATGCATAATTCTTTTGCGAAGAGTTCCAGGGCTGCTCCGGGGAGGTGAATTTTTATTACTACTACTTCCTTTGGAATTGCTGAAAAAATTAGTGCTTCATATTTATTACGAATTATTGGAGATGTTGATGGAGTCGATGGAAGGGGAATGACGGGGGAGGGGTGGAAGAATCCGTTTTGAATGGTCGATATCTACTCATTAAATGGTACGATTTGGGTGGACAAGTCTCATTTTGAAGTTTTAGAAAATGTTGAACATGAGATAAAAATTGGGGAATTTTACTCTGCGTTTGCGAGCAATTGAAGATTGTTAATTTTATTGCATTCTGTCGGACTTCATTATTTTAAACATTATTTAGATCAGTTATTGTGAAATATCTCGCAATATGAAGGAAGTCTAGAAATTTTCGAGAATATAATTTTTTAGGGGTGGGATTCCTTTACAAAAATGGTATGAAGGAGGTTCCTCGATTCTTTTCACGAATTTCTATTCAGAATTGAAATAAAATAGAGAAGATTGGGGTAAAATGGGGAAATTTTACTCTGCGGTTATCGAGATATTGAAGATTAAACACAGTTGGTTTTATTCCACCCTTCCCGATTTTATGATTTGATCAAGGCTATCCAAGTACTTTGGCTATTTTGTCTCGAGTGAAGTGCTTTTCTACTTTTATAGTCGAACTTTCATTTGAGCCCCATTTGACCACAAGTTTCCGGACTTTTAAAAATTGCAATTTTTTAAAATTACGAATATTTTCTATAAATAATTTATAAACAATTAATGTTCTACCATAAGAATCATTTGTTCGGAATCCTAACAAACTTATTCATATTTAGAATTTTACTAGAAATCGATTTCTCACTTAAAAAAATGTTTACGAAAGTTTAACCAATTTCAAATATTTATTTATAAACAATAAATGCTTGAAAAAATAATAATTATGTGCAAAACGTAATTAGAATCGCACTGAATATTCACGATTTTTTTTCGAACTTTTCTCGCGCAATTTAATTGACAAATTTCATGAATAAATAAAATCTAAAAATTTGTGCAGAGATAATTTTGTAGTTCTTGCATTCCTCTTCAAAAAGGGACTAAATAAAATACGAAAAAATAAGACACAACAGTCAGTCTTTAAAAATTAAAAATTAACAATTAGAAACAGTTGATTGTATTCCATCCTCCCTCAATTATCAGCCCTTGGATGAATTTAAAAAAAATCTCGAAATCAAAGACCACCTAAATATCCCTCTATCCCCATGCCTTCATCTCTTCAATTTCTCTCCAAAAAGGTCTGCATGAAAGCTCGATTATTCTCCCATGACTAAAGAATACATAATGAACTAATTCACCCAGCGAATGAAAACTTACTCTTGATTTTGTCGTCCCTCCCCATGACCCTAAAAGTATTCCTCGTATCCTGCAAAACAATGCCATTGATGCCCACCAAACTGGGGCATTTGGACCTAACAACAGTAACTCTCGCCCCATGAAGATCAGCTCTCATCAACTTTTGATTAGTAATTTCCCAGCGTGAATCCACAGTGCTGCACGCCAACTCCCTGAAAGAACGAATGCCCAGAGCTTGCTGGATATACCCCAGCCATAAATGATTAAGTGGCACAAGGTCCTCGTACTTTAATCCAGTCTCCGAACTGATATTCTTAAGCCCCAACAGTTTTCTCTTTCTGCTGCTCAAGTATTTTCCTTTTTTCGGCAAAACTTTTTTACCACCATCGTGGGACTTCAATTTCCCAAAAATAAACGTCTAAAAGTAATTAAAACAAACTAAGAAAACTCCCAACTTACAACACCACTCTCCGCATTACCACTAGCTGGAACAATGTAACAACCTTTTTAAGTTCCGCCGTAATTTCATTAACATCAGAATTCGGTAAGGAAGTCTCCAGGAAATTCAAAACAATTCTTTCACGATCTTCCGTTGTGGCTGCATGTTTTGTTATCTCGTGTGGCAGGGGTTTGCACAATGACTCTATTAAATTATTCAAATTTATTTAAATTAACTTTGAATAATGAAAATAATACAGTTTACCTCACCTGGTGTTTTCCTCATTATTTTCTAAATATATTTAACCAAATTGTTGTATAACGTCACTGTATACCCGGAGTCCAGGAGTCCAGGCACTGTAAACACAAACACAACCTTAAATTCTGTGGACACGGAACTGTCCGTGCCCTCCATGCCTCACGTCACGTGACCCCTCCTCCCACCCCTCGGCCAATCAAACCCTTCTATGGAAATGCGCTCAGAATACAAACGAGTTCAGACAAAAAAAATTATTGAAATAGTACACAGTACATTATGCACTATAAATATGGGTGAGCATGTCTGTTTTTTCTCTCCACGTGATAAAAAAAACACCCATCACCCATAGTAAATTTTTTTTACAATAGTAGATATTTTTTTTCTCTCTCTCCCTCTCTCAAAACAAAACGTATATTTGCAAGTGGCATTTGCAATGCTGTGTTTTCATTCATTGAAATTGAGTTCCCAGTGAGGGCCCAGTTGAAAGAGAAGAGGCAATAAATAAAACAAGGAAATTAAATCTCATTGTCGCAATGACCCCCACGTAAGGCTCATTTGAATAGAACTAGTGCTCTGGATAGTCTCTCCCTCCTCCCCCCTTCCTCTTCCGCTCACTCTACTATTCCATTCAGCGACCTGTGAAGATTTCTTTGACGCGTGTGCAACCGTTTGTACATTGGACCCCCGTGTATTGCTTGCCCTACTCTCTCTACATTTTCTCTCCGTCTGAACTCTAGCCCCGGCGGCTGCTGCACTTTTTCCCCCCAGCCAGGTGATACTGAATAGATTCCTCGCTGACTTAACAGCCAGGGATTGGATCCCAGACACCGTCCACTTATTTTTTTTTTAAGTAGAGGAGAGGCAGTGGCTGATTTTTGCATTCATGCGGAGACTGAATCATGCTGATTGCTGGTTAATTTGACGGCGAGTCTCTCGAGTCTTTAATTTTAATATTTTTAGGGAGGTTTTGATGGGAATATTGATAGAATTTTCAATTTTATTGCGCAGTGAAAATTTGCGGAATTGGGATATTGAACTTGGAATTTATTGAATATTTAAATAATTTGGGGAATTTTTATCGCATTTTTTCTTGAGAGTATTTGAATTAATTCTTCCTGTGGATCTAATTCAATGTAACTCTTCTGAAAATCATTGATCTAAGAAATTTAACTCAATGAATTTCATAGAGTAATTTTTTCAAGAATCTATTCGAGATATTTGTCGTATTTTCTTTCAATTTTTTCTGCCACTGCAAGGAAAAAAATGAGAACAATTCTTTAATTTTATTTTACTCTTTACTCTTGTGATTATTGCTGATTGCTATTTAATTTAGCGTCGTCTCCCTCTTGCTTCAATTTTAAAATTTCTGTGACTGGTTTTCACGAAAATTTCGGGATTTAAAAATTGGATATTTCATTGGTTTTCGCATAATTTAAGAAAAAATTAATGAAAATTGTTCATTTGAGTTGAATTATTCAGTGAAAATTAGGGAAATTTGAATGAATGTATTCTTGAAGTTCAAATTTCTTTAAAATTCACATAAATTGTGGATTTTTTTTCAAGTCTCTTTTTGAAGGGAGTTGAATAAACTGTAATTCTACCTGAAATTTCAAATTCTATGGGGCTTTTCTCTTCAAATTGAATTCAATTTCAGTTTTCTAAAAATGATTAACCCTTTAGATTCAATTTTTTTCATTTAAATCTATTTACGATATTCGCCAAATCAGTTTTTATCTTCTTTTTTCTTTCTTTGTTTTTCCCCGGCCAACCTGAAGCAAAAAAAATTGACTTTTGTAATTCGTGCATTCAACCAGAGATGTTGATTGCTCTTTAATTTAGCATCTCTCTCTTTCGTCCTCGGGATTGAAGTCACATTTTCCATGGTTTTTGCATAATTCGACAAAAAATAAATAACAATCGTTAATGATACTTCAATGATTCAGCGAAAACTAGCCCAATTAAGATGACTATATTCTAGAGTTTTAAACTCATTGTAAATTGACGTAAATTGTAAAATTTTCATCTCAATCTCCTCAAAATTACTTAAATCACCGTAAATACTCAACCGTAAATTACCATTCCATTAAATTAAGATTTTTGAGACTGAGAATATCAAGAATACCAAGACATTCGCCAAACGAATTTTCCTCTCCTTTTTCCAACTCCCTAACCTTCTCCCGAGAAAATAAACAAAAAAAACTCCTGTAACTCTTGCATTCATCCAGCGACTGAATCATGCTGATTGCTATTTAATTTAGCCCCAACCCTCTCTCGTCTTTGATTTAAAAAAATTTAAAAACCCCCTCGAGAAGATTCAAGTTATGAAAAAATTTTAGCTGCTGAAATTAAAGAGAAATGAAATCACACCTGCGAGATATTGAGGGTTTAATGAAAAAGGTGACGCAAAAGAGAATTCCTCTCGCCAGAGGGAAAAATGTGATAAAGGGGCAAAAAAAATCCATTTCCGCTGGCTTCCACTATTTTTCTGTTTACAACGTGAATGGCGTTATTTTCCGGTAAATTTGCCACGAGATACTCCAATACCAGTTCATTCAATACAAACTTACAAAGTTAGCTGCTGTATTATACCCAACACAAACTCCCGAGGCAGTTGTATTAATCTCAACTTGCTTCACCAACAATAAAGCTTTTCAATTTTTACTTTAACCCCACCACAACGTCATGGCAACCTCTCCACATCGCTGCAACACTGGGTTTCAGCATCAAATCGGATCTTAAAGCTCGGCAATGAAACTTTTCCCTGAATCCCACCTTGTAAACAGTATCGTAAATTTCAAAGAGTTCTTGTAAACTCATCTCCCTTTGATCGTCTCGTTAAAAAACTTTATTCCAACAAAAAGCTCGTAATCATAATCAACTTTTTGCATTGAGATATCCAACACTGTTTAAAACCCCAGTGGCATATTCCATATTTTATCTCCTCAAAACCAAGTCAATGAGTTTTCGCAAGTCTTGCAGGGTAATAAATTTTCAACTGTCTCTGGGGTAAGAATATTCCTCGAGAAACGCTGGCGGAATAAACCCGACGCAACATTAAGATTCTCGCATTTCACTCGGTGCAAGTTGTCTTTAATTATTTTAAGATTATGGGCGAACGTTTTCACTGAAATTTTGGGAAAAGTCGATAAATTGGTGAGAACATCAATCGAAAGTGTTGATTTCAGATTAAGTCTTCATTTTGATTACATTTATTTCTGAGACTATTTGAATTAATTGCGAGTTTACCTGATTCCATACTTTTCCGTCAGAACTAAGTCAGGGGTTTTCTGGGATAAGAATATTCCTCAAAAAATGTTGGAGGAATAAACCCGAGTCAACGTTGAAGTTCTCGCATTTTGCACTTTTCAACTTGTATTTAATTTTAAAATTATCTGCGAATGTTTCAACTGAAATTAATAGATTGCAGAGTGGGATATTTTACTAGTTATCGCATAATTTAATGAGAACATCAATCAAAAATGTTTCAGGTTTCAGTTTAATTTTTCAGTGAAAATTCAAGTGAATTCAAGTGAAATGAATTTTTGTCTCATTTCTTCTTGAAACTATTCGAATCAATTGCTCAAAACCAAGTCAATGGGTTTCCACAAGTGTTGCAGAATAATAAATTTTCAATTGTCTCTGGGATAAGAATATTCTTCAACAGTCATTGGAGTCAACATTGAAATTCTCGTATTTCGCCCTTTTCAACATATCATCTTCAATTTTGAAATTATCTGGGAATGTTTCCCTTGAAAATTCGGGATTGAAGAGTGGGATTTTCCGTTCGTTCTCGCATAATTTGATGAGAACATCAATCGAAAATGTTAATTCCACTAAAAATTCAAGCAAACGTCTTCACGGCAGGGAATGTCAATTCTCCAGTAAAAATTCAAGGGAATTGTGAAATTATTATCTCATTTCCTCTTGAACCCATTTGAATCAATTGCAATTCTACCCCATCCCATATTTCTCCCTCAAAACCGAGTCACTGGCTTTCCACAAGTGTTGCAGAATAATAAATTTTCAACTGTCTCTTTGATAAGAATATACCTCAAGAAACGTTGGGCGAATAAACCCGAGTCAACATTAAGATTCTCGCATTTCACTCTTTTCAACTTTTCCTCAACTCTTCACCAAGCAAATGGTAATGTTACCAACACCACAGAATCTGTGCTAAAAGTTTTTCCTACCGTTTGTTTTTCATCCATTCGTAATTCTGGTGAACGATAAATTTATTCCGAACGACTCACATTGTCTCTTTGAATTCTGACAAAAGCTTTTTACTGAGTTTCTCGTGCTCTATCACGTGCTCAATGGCAATATATCTTCACTATCTCACCCCCTACCACCACCACCACCACCCCCTCCGCTCGCCCCCTATGCGCTGAGAACAAAAAGAAGTAACGACGAAATAGAGTTACAGTGGGAGCATTAATGCTCGCAAAAACACTGATGAAATTTTGGGGAACAGTCATAAACCTAATTTATTAAAAAAAAACATTCTTCAACAAATTAACTTTTTACATTGGATTCAGGTTACGATGTTAGTCACTGTTACCGCGGATTCCTCATCCTTGCCGAGATAACGATCGAGATAATGAAGCGTTTCGAAAGCAACCTCCACCATGATGAGAACAATAATCATCCATTCTAGTCTGACGTGGTGTCGATCGCTCAGATGAGAGGAGAGGAGCTCCACTAGCTCTACGCAGTGATTTATTTTTTCGTTCATTACCTGGAATCCATGAAGAAACGATTATTATTTATGGGGTTGCGGAGGTTTTATCGGTGGTACGAGCTGGAGTGGAGGATGGCAATTGAATTGTTCGCAAATTCCATGAGATTTTTTTTATTTGCAATATAAATAACGCTTTCTGTTTTGAGTATTATGGGGAAGTGTTCATTTTCTCAATTTCATTATTATAGTTTGTGTGCATTTAATTTGATGCTGTGATTGGCCGTCTGTTGCTGGGTCTTTATGAACTAAAAAGGAATGAAATGAAAATGAAATGTAAATTTGTGAAAAATTCCGGCTGGCGACATTTGTCTTGAAATTTTAGAAAATCTCCTTTTGCAAAATTATATATTCCATTGATTGACTCCTAATTTGGGGAAAATAGCAAAGTAAACTGCGAATTTGGGCCTAATAACTCAGTGAAAATTAGGAAAAATCAGGTGAAAATAATTCTGAATTTTCAATTTCGTGAAAATTCAAATAATTTGTCAAGTTTTTGTGAATTCTATTTAAGAACCTAAATTTCAAAAGTCTTTTCCCATAATTTCGCCAGAAAATTAATAAAATTAATAAAAATTCAGCTCATTTCAATCTAAAATATTCATATTCAATTCGAAATTAAAGCAAGCTGTGAAATTTTAGTCGCTTTTTTACCAGAGAATATTTGTATTTCATTGAACTTTACCTAAATCATGGAATTCCATGAAAAACTCAATAATTCTGGTAAATAT